GAAAGAGGAGTTACTATAAAGGAGCATTGGCCAGAGCACATGTGTTTAGTGTAGTAATCCATTTGAGATCCCACAGCTAATAAGATTTGAACCAAAGTACTCAATCTCCAACTTTCATGTTCTTTCCTCGACCACATTGATATCGATTACTGAGCTCTTTTGTTTTCAAGTTGTAGAAGTGATAATTTTGATGGTAGTGGTTATGCTACCTTGTTTGATACATTGTAGACATTCACTAGGGGTTAAATTACTCTTTCTGTCAAGAATTTTCAAATGTAAATACCTCCTGCTGTTTGATGCTGTACAATGATCCCCTGGAATGAGTATCAGTATATGATGATGTCTTATTAGATCTTTGCTATTAGTCTCTCAAGCTTTTAGTCTCTCAAGTCTCTCAGAAATGAGTTTAATTTTGTACTTCTTTTGATATTCTACCTCAAATCAAATACTCCCACCTTTCCAAGATTCATGCAGTTAAGTAGCACCAAATGACTTACTCTGGTCCATGGGCTATCAGTATGAATGATATATGTCACTCCTAGGAGTGAGTGTGAGTTCTCGTGTATCCATTTTCCCCATCATAATGGCTTTCAAAATGATAGAACTTTCTGTTGTCTGACTTTGTGGAGTAGAGACCTTTTAGCTCCCTTGCACCTCATCTCCTTTCCAACTAGCGTTGACCCTCCAGCATGAGACATAAAACTTTCTTGTATTAAGCCTTTGAAATCTTTGGGTTTATTTATTATTGAAGCATAGCCTGTCATCTCCTGGAAGTGAAATGCTGCATTAAAAAAAATAAATTGTGTAGTGTTGACTTAGTGGCTGGCAACTTGTGGGTATAAAGTGGATATCAAAGGTAGGAAAGAAAGTAATCTATGTTATTGAGTGATAAAACATTTGGTAGAACCATCACCTGCAATAACTTAGAAGTAATATTGTATATAGCCAAGATATAGAATTAACCAAAATGTCCATGAGTGGATGAATGGTTAAAGAAAATGTGGTATATATTCATAGTGGAATACTATTCAGCCACACAAAAGAATGAAACCCTATAGCAACATGATAAACCTGTAGGATATCATGTTAACTGAAATAAGTCAGGCACAGAAAGACAAACATTGCATGATCTCACTCATATGTGGAATCTAAAAAGTTGCTATGAAGTAGAGAGTAGAATAGTGTTTACCAGAGGATGGTGAGGGTCGGGAGAGGGGAGAGGGTGAGAGATTGGTCAATCGGTACAAAACTACAGTTAGATAGGAAGAATATGTTCTAGTATTCTATCGCATTGTATGATGACTAGAGTTAACAATAATATATTGTATATTTTAAAATAGCTAGAAGACAGATTTTTGAATGTTATCATCACAAAGAAATGATAAATGTTTAAGATGATAGACATGCTAATTACCCTGATTTGATCATTATACTATATATATATATATATCTCAGAACATCACATTGTACCCCATAAATTTGTACAATTATGTGTCAATCATCAGAACAGATTGCTTACTTAAAGAATTCATATTTCTAGGGTGAAGTGGGTAAAAAACAAAGTGTTACTAGTATGTCTCGGTTATTATTTGTTATATTTTGCAAGACAATAAACAAAAAGATGGTTGGTCTTTAAAGTAGAAATAAAAGAGAATAGAGACTTCCAGATATCCAAGATCTTGCCATGTTGGAAAAGTCAATTAATATTTTCTCCCAAAGAAAGAGATAAAATTAAGCAAGCATTTGAGGAAAAGTCCATTAAAACCAAATATTTTTGGAAAGAATTAGATAAAGGGTGTGACTTTCATGTCTACACAAAATTTCTCAATGGTTTAGAATGATCAGGAAAAAGTTCTGACCTTTCCTCCAGAGAGGCTCACATATATTAAGAAAGATATAGGTGTGAAAAAACAAGTAAATATAGCAGATCTGAGATCCGTGTCTCCAAAGACGTATGGTGTGGTTACTGGGACATGGAATTGATTAAGACAGAGGGAAGATGTACCTTTAAGGTCTTCAGAGAATTAGGCTTCCAAGTAAACTATGAGGTTGGAGTAAAAAGGCCTGTGGAGCTTTATCGAACTAAAATAACCCTTGGTCCCCCAGTCCCCTATGGAAAAAGAGTAGGCTGAAAACCAGTGAATCCCCCAAGGAGGTTGAGGTATGTATATTTCAAAATATTGTAAAGGATGCTTCATCCTGTTTGTAACCACTTGTTTGCAACTGTCTTACATGGGAAATTGGCTAGATGGGAACTTAATTTGATCTTATACTTCTTAATTTCATTCCAAAGTACACTGGGTTACTTTGATAAGCATATGGCTCCTTACCCAGAACAGATTAGAATAATCCTATAAATTTCTTGACTTCACTCACCCTATTGACATTATGCTGATATTTTGCACACTCTGCTCAACCTCTATTTCAGCTCCTCACATGGCAGCTGCCTATATATTTCCTTTTTTTTTTTTTGCAGGGATTCCTCCATGTACCCCTTATATATAATGGTCAATGACAACGGTGATCCTTCACTCTGTCTGACCTTTTCCCTGGCACTGCTAGGCACTCATTTCTATACCTCCTTAAGGGACCCTGTTAATGCTGGGTTTGCTGTGATCTAGCTTTGGATTCAGGCAGAGTGCTTTTTGTGGGTTGGCCAGTGACAAGTAAAGGCTCTATCCATGTGGGAGTGTGCTGAAGTTGAGATTTGGTAAAGAATGGGTTTAATATCCAGAAAAATCTTGATATTTATAAAGGAAGTATTATATGATATTAAAATGATAGTGAAATATGTCAAAAAAGCATATTTTTGAACACATGTCTAGCTTGGATGTTTAAGAGCAGGGAAAAATGTATGAGGAGTAAGGTCAAATTGCAAAAGTAAGAATATTCTAGTTAGCTAGGTAATATTTTGTTCTCCCTGTAGTTTTGTATATCCCAATATAGTATCATAAGAGAATCTCACTAATATTTCTATCATCTAATGTGCAGGCCAACTTTGAAGTTTCTGAAGTGCTGTGAAGTGCTGTCCCAGTGGCTTCCCATAACCATGGCTTCTTTCTGTTCCCATTAGGGGAGGGGTTGGGAAGAAAGGTGGGAAGCATACCTAGTCACCCAGAAACCAGGTGAGGAGCTGTAACAGCAGGTAAGAATAACCCATGGAGAATTTGCTCCTGTGCTCATGTTTCAGCCTGGAATTAACACACAGAGCAAGAGCAAATCCACGGTCCTGCCTGTATGTGAGGGGCTAGGAAATGTGGGCAAGCATCAGGATATTTGGTGATCAGTCAATGTTTCTGCAGTAATCTTCCTTTGTGGTTGCCAAAAGTATCTTAACTTCCTTCTTACCAACCATAGAACACACTTAATCAACCTGCAAAAATTCCTTCCGTCACTACATCCATGTCCAAGTTCTGAATCTTATATTTCATGTAGTTGTCTTATGTCTACTTCGTATCTAGAAGTGGATGCTCTCATTCTGGAGATAGATAAGCTAAAAACTATGTTGTTCCAGGCACACTTCTAAGTGCTTAGGAAGTAGTAGCAAACAAATGGGCAAATTACCTGCCACATGGTGCTTACATTCTATTGGAGGGAAAGACAGTAAACAAATAAGTAAATAAACATATAATGCTGAGTTAGAGTTGGAAGAATTCTGATTACTTTAAAGTGTCTGTGAAATATGTGATAGAAAGACTGCCTTAAAATATTTCATAAATTTTCTTTTTTTTAAAAGTAAATGTGAAAACTTTAGACAAATACAAGGAAGAAAATCAAGTTACCTGGCAAAAAGAAAATTTACCTGTAATCTCATCATACTATCCTATGATCTTACCAACTTGGCAATTTAGGGCAAATGGGGTTACTGTACTTGGTATCTTGCTTTTTTCACTTAACATTTTACAAGCGCTTCTCTTTGTCTTTAAATAATCTTCAAATATATGTTTTAATGGCTGCAAATATTAGAGCCTACATACAAAATTCAATGTTTTCATTATTTTTGACAATTTCTATGATCATAAATGAAATTTATATATACAAATCTTTGCATATCTGAATATATCTTCGCATATGATGCTAGAAGTAGAATTGTTGGACTTAAATGCCATGTATATTCTATGACACTTGATGTATGTTGTGAAATAGATTTGTAGAATGATTACACTTTCTCGCTATTATCCCAACAATAGGAGATATTATGTGTATTTAAAACTTGAGCCCAAACTACACCTCAGTGTTATTTTAAACTATATATTTCTGTTTACTGAGGTTGATTTTTGAAAATGTGTTTATTGTGTATCCTCCTTTCTCCTTTGAATTCTTTGTCATTTGCCCTGCCTCCTTTTTTCTATGAGGCTGTTAGCTTTTTCTTTTGATTTATGAGGTATTTTATGTAGAAAATATGTATTTGTTGCAATTTTTCCAAGTGGTAATTTGTATTTACTCTTTTTTGATATTTTGACATTCAGAGTATTTTTCTTTCATACACTCAAACTTACTGATCTTTTTCTTTATAATTTCTTCTATTCCTCTTGTGCTTAGAAAACCTACCCATCCTGAGATGAATAAAATATTTATGTTCTTCTAGTTATTTTTTTAAAATTTTGCTTTTCTGTTGAGCTATTTCATCTATGTGTTATTTATTTTGGCGAGATGAGGCTTTGAGCCTTTTCATATAGTTCATTTTGTTAACACCATTTGTTAATAAAATAATCTATCCTTTTTGCCATAGATCTGCGACACTTTCTCATATGTCAAATTTACACATGCACACACACACACACACACACACACACACACACACACACACACACCGGTCTGTTTCAGAGCTTGTATTAATCCGTTCGAAAGATTCTGTTTTTAAGGTCGTGTAGAGAGTGATTGTTCTGGGACTTTTTGTCCCAATGTTAACAAAATTACAATAATTCTTGGTTACGTCTTGACGGAACGGGGGAGAGCAACGGTGCGGAGGCATTTAGGACCCAGGGGAAAGCCAGGCTCGGTATAGAAGGACAGAGTCTCGGGCGCACACGCCTCCTACCAAAATCACAGCCCCGAGTGGAGCCCGAGCTCTCATTCACAGCTTTCTAGAGAAATCTGAGCCCGAACCTGCCAGCATAGGGGATCTCACCCACCCAGTTCAGCAGCGCGGACACCTGCAGAAACACATTCCCAAAGCAAGGCTGGGCGGCCGTGTGAAGGTATTTGTTGCCTTTTTTCTCCCTTCTGTGTGTACAGCGCCTCCCCGCCTTTTCCCCGCTCTTGCGATGCCATGGCTGCGGCGTTTCAGCACTTGGGTATGTGGACAGCTCCCATCCGCAATCCCTCTGCACTCTCCCCCTCCGCACCGCGCCCCGCTCTCCGCCGCCTCCGGTCCATCCTCCTCCGGCGCCCGCTCAGCCTGCGCTCCCTCACACCATCGGCACCCCCATCCCCATCGCTGTCATCATCTCCACCATCACCAGCGCGGTAACTACAGCCACACAACTGTGTCTTGTCACTTAGACAAAGCCCGAGGTCCACAGGGTAGAGGGAAAGAGCTCAAGTTTACAGGCACAGGAAGGAAAGTTCAAGTGAACGACACCCTAGAAAACAAAGAGAGACGCCTGCTTGGGAGAAAGGGAAAGTGAAGGCAGAAGGGAGAGACCCAGAGCACGGGGACAGATGGGGCACTTGCCAGACACCAGCAGTTAGCCAGCTGCCTTTCAGCAGATTAGGGACTGTTTAGTGCAGGAAATTAACATGGCCTGAGGCATGGTGTGATTCCTGAGAAACAGAAATGTGAGCTCAACCTGTGCTTCTGGTTTGCCAATGGAGAATCACCAGGAGGCAGGGTGGGGGTGACTGATGACTCATATTCTCCCACACGTCAGTGTTCCTTCCCAAGCGTTTACTGCAGAAACTCGGGAATTAAGTTTTTTTTACGGAAATGTTTTGCAAAATGGGGACTCCAAAGGTTAAGTCTGTGGCCAGAATAAAAAATGAAAATGATGATAATAACCAAAAAAATGGGGCTTTCATTCGGAAGTGCTATTTGTTCAAATGCCTCTTCCTGTCTACTTATTTCAATTTTCCAATCTTAACCTCTCTTTGAAGCAGAGAAGATGGATCTCCTGCCCAAATGGCCAAAGTAGTAATGATATTCAGAGCAGATGGCCTGGCTTTGTTCATCACTACTCAAGGACTGGCTTAGATTTGGAAGGCGAGATTTTTGTGTGCTTTCTCAGTAATCAGGCGATAACACCATTTTCCTATAATAGTAAAGGGTAATAGAGTGCAAAAATTGAAAAGACATTTTATGTAACTGTGTTCTGCCAGGCTCATGCTTTTAGAGTGCTATCATTTTCTATCTCAGCTGAAGGGAAGTTGGAACATTTTTCAAATATCTTATTTAATTTGAACTTGAAGGTCCAAAGCCAAGTCACAGTGCCTATTTGATTTAGCCAGGATCATCTGTTTTATAATAGCTAACAAACACCAGAAAATAAGTGTCTGAGCCTATCATAAATAAAAATCTTTTCGTGGATGCTAGTTCAACTGATTTTTACTAAACAGTAAAGTATTGGTGCTTTATAAAATTTCTGACAAGTTATTTTTCATAAAATCAACATCTTAATTAAAATGAGATGTACTTAAATGGGAATAATGTCAGGTCACATGTAATGATAAAGTTTAAACCAGGGCACAGAAAAGCTTCATTTAAAACTTGGCCTTGTACATTGATTCTGCCTCTTTAAAAAGAGACAGTGAAGCAAGTTTCATCTAAACCAGCTCGTCACTAGCAGCATTGCCACAAATATAGTCACAAAGCGGCATCTTCTGAAAGAAGTTTTAAGGAGGAATTAGTACCTAATAGTCTTCATGAATGAGGAATAGTGACGTTGTATCAAAAGTTGCTTAGTGCTACTAACTGCATAAACATGAGCGTAATTGTGTCTGCCTGTGAAATTCACTCAGTTTTCAACTCAAACCAAGAAAACTAGTAAAAATATGTGATGAAATGGATATCAGAGAAGGAAATTCTGTCATCCAGTTACTGTCCTTATATTTGTCATATCCACAGTAAACAAGACCTCTCAAACTTCTTAAATTCTTAAAACTCCCTTATCAGTCTGCAAAGAATGGTTCAGTTCAAATAATTTCTAAAAGCGTATATATTGCCAATTGTAGTTGCTTCGCACCAGAAACTGAGGCCAGGAAGCCAGTGTCTCCAAAGCCACTGTCTTCCTGTGCTTAATACAATCTCCTGCGCCTGGGGAATTTTAAAACAATGCTGCTCCAGTGAGATTTACAGGCATGTGTCTGCTAGCAGTGGCTCCCTCTGACTGAAATGTTATGCTGAGCTTATTAATTTTTATAGAGTGCCACTATCCTGGCTTCCTGACATGGTTTTTCTATTAATGACTATTTTGCATTTTTTTTCACATTTTCAAAACCAGAACTTTTTAATTTGTATAATAGATTTAAAGGTGAACAGAAAACATTTTCCAGCAGAGTGTTGTTGTACGTTTTTGCAGACATCCCCATAGGAGGGGACATCATTTTTGAATTAGGAAGTATGAAGCTGGAAGGTCCTCCATTTCCCCAAAGGCAATATCTTAAATACTTAAGAACTGGTGGTGTCTGCTGTCTTCTGCCGGCTTTACAAAGCCTTATTATTCCTGAGAGTCTATTCTCAACTTTACATATTTTCTCATAGCAGAGCCTTCCATCCTTAGTAAATGGATTCAGGCTGGCTTTGATCTCTACTGTTCCTGTTACACCATGACTCAGACAGAGGTGGTAGTAGAGCAAAAATGGTTATACAGAATATGGAACCTGACGATATGTAATCAGCACATAAATATCCCTCAATATTGCCAAGAGAGATCTTCTTTCCCCATTTACATCCTTCTCCCTAATACTGCTTATTTTGATTGTTGTGCATTTTATCTAGACTTCACTAGAACAAAAAGTTATTTCAGGAGAAGGTCCAAAGTGTGAACCACTATAAGTCCGCAACCCCTATCACCAGCCCTAAGTGTAATATCACTCTATTAAAAATCATGCTTAATTTTCAATCCAAATTTTTCTTAGCTTAAGTCAAGTTTTTTGCTTGATTTTTTATGGATGTGGAAATCAACTGGTCAAACATCTCCTGCCCCATGAAAATCCCTTCATTTATTCAGATAGTAAGTTCCTTATTCTCTACTCCCTCCGCTGCCTCCCACAGCCCTTTATTATGTCTTCTCTGGTCAGGTCACCCTGTGTTTTGTCTCTTTTTGGACCTGTTCTGTGACAGGGAGTATCAGAGAAAGTTTCCTGTGAGGCAGGCTAATTTCCTGCGGTTTTCTTCTTTCTGACTTCTGAGCCAGCAAGAATTTCCCCATCTGTGTTTGAGATGATCTACTTTTGTGTCCAGGACAGTTTTAGCCAAATCTCCATTTCCTTGATATTGTAAAGAACACTTACGACCCTGTTTTCACATCTTCCTTAAAATAGCATCACGTCAGTTCAACTTCTATTATTGCTTCAAGGTCTTACGTAAAACTCCATACCTTTATGTGTGTCACATACACAGTTTATTCAGTATTCATCATTTTATAGTTTTGGAGGAAGTAGAAGGGAAGTTGTGGGCCTGGGAATAGTAGTTAGGGGGCTCAAATCACAGGTCTATCAATAACAGTCTTCTTGATGTGTGGTCAAAACAAAATAAAATAAAATATGAGCTTTTTCTCTCTTTCCTCTTTCTCTTCCTTCCTCTCTGCCTCCTTCTCTTTAACTTTTCCTTCTTTTCCTTCCTTCCTGCCTTCCTTCCTTTTTCTGGGAGGTTAACATATACAGCATGCAAGTGTGTGTGAGAGTAATTAATGGGGTGATATAATGAGCCCCTGCTCCGTAAGTAGTGAACATTCTGGGGTTGCTTTTACTCTGCTCTTAGACAAAGTAACACTGCTGCGTACCGAGGGTGTGAGCTCTGGTCTCAGGGGCAATTAACCTACCTTCTCAACCCCTTTGGGTCATTGCAAATCCTCTAGATGAGTGCTTCTCAAACATTAGTGTGCACAAATTGCACAGTGATTCTGTTATCCCTCCAGTAGGTCTAAGTGGGTCCTGGCATTCTGATTCCAAACCAGTTCCTAGGAGCTGTGGATGCTGCCGATCCAGGGACCACCTTTTGAGAAGCAAAGGCAAAGAAACATTTTCTTCTTTTTTAACATTTCCACCTTCATGTCTGATTATTAAATAACAGCACTCACTCTAAAACAAAATAAAAAACACTCCAAGATCTGAGGTAATAAGAGCTCAGAAATTATATTTCTAATTGAGAAGAAAGTTATAAAAATAGCCCCTTTCTACCCACCTCACCCATAAGTATCCTGCTAAGTTTCACTTTCACCAGGCTGTTTTCTTAGCTCTGATTCCTGCTGCTAGTATTGTCTGCCTGTCACATCCAGAAGTGTCCCAGGTACACAGATGTGCTGGAGAGAACACTGACTGGACAAGAGGACAAGTAGATTTAATGGCCATCTTTGGGCAAACCCTACCTTTCTTACTTTCCTCTAGAACTTCCTCCGAAAATAAAGAGTCTATTCTTAGAGAAATACTTACCCTTTTCCTTTGATGACAGAAGGGTCAAGTGGTTTATTCCCCCTTCCCAACCCACCGGTACTCTTAGGAAGCACCACTACTCTGTTTTAAAATTTGGGGCATCCACTACTGATGACTTCTCGTGGGGATAGTTTAATAGCATAGGAAAACATTCCAGCTTAATTTTCTATGTCTCAATAATTTCCCCTATAGATTATCTTTATTTAACATATATTGAAGTGTAAAGCAAATGCTACTTCAATTAAAAGCTTTTCTACCTAAGACAATGAGGAGGCAGAAAAATCTCATGTTTTCCTCACAAGTTGGTTTTCTCCTCAACTCTATGCATTATTTGTCCCAAAGCAAACCAAAATAACAATTTTATAGATGGTTCTAGAACTTAGGACACAATCCTCTGTCAAATGGGTCTAGTGTATCTGAGCCTCAATCTGTTCTAATTCAGATCTGGCATCTACTTGGGGTAGAAGTTCTCAATGTCTCTACTCTGATGGAACTCATTGCAATTTACTTTTAACCTTTTTCAAGAGCAGGAGCCAATGGGAGCAGATGACTGTGTGCTTGGTTGCTATTTTAAAGGGCACCAAGGGAGTTTACACAATGAATATTTATGTGGCAAGAATTAACCCTAGGCGAGGAATGAGCTAAAGATGGTGGAAGGTGGACTGTGACCCAGGGGCTAAGTTTTGGTTATTAATGGTCTCCCCTTTATCCTTCCAGACTACACTCTCTGTCCCTGCTATAGATAGTTCACAGCTGTAAGCTGGCTAACATTTTAAAGAAAGTCAATGTATTGGGGGCCACTTAGTTACTCACAGGCCCATGTTCTTTTGCTAGGACTTGTGTGGAAGTCCCACAAGCCATAATGGTCACTCTGAAAATTCATCAGTTGGAAAAAAACTTCTTTTTGGCCAGTACCACAGAATGTGTAATCAAACAAACTATGAGATTTAAATGTAGGCTCTGCTGGCAGTAAGAAAGGATATCATCTTTCAGGAAAGATTTCAAATGGAGATATATCTAAAAAAAAAAAAACAAACAATTTTTGCTCACTGTGGTTTTCAATTTCAGTTTAGATGTATCAGCAGCATCTATTTTTATTGCATTCAGTATAAAAATTCCTTTTGGCATTCCTAGGTAACAGTGCATATTCAGTTTAAAAATTTGAAGTGAGGTGTTAGAAAGGTGAATACTTTTAAGGGTTGCCTAATTTAATATATATTGAAAATTTTGGAGCATAAATTTTACCCTTACCGATGGATGAGATATTGATTAGGCTTTCTTGTGCAGAGTGTTATCACTGAGATTCATTTTTCACCCTTTTATTGTAAGAGAAGCACACAAAAAATATAGGTATAATTTCTTATTTTATATTTGCATCATTTAAATTTATGTGTGCTTAAAAGTGTTCTTTGTATTACCAGGAACACACAGAAGCCATGCAAATTTGAGGTACTGTTCATTAATTATTGATGTTCTTATAGTTCAAATAGTTTTTAGGTTTTATAGATGTTATCTTTTTAATCATGACAGTATTCTCTTTCCTCCCAAAATTTGGGCAATTTTACAATATCCCTTACACGATCTCCCTCAGGGCTGGTGGGGTGTGGGTATGTGCTCATCACGTGAGTGTGAGTACGAGCCCACCAGGACCTAGACTGACATCAGGGAAGGCACCTGCTCAGGAAGGCAGGGCAAAGCCACCGACAAAATGTGTGTAAGGTACATTTGTGTACAAATCTTGTTCTTCCACCTATACTTTATTTAAATCTCAGATTTGCCCTAATGACCAGAATCAGTAAGTACTAACCTAGCTTTACAGATTGGAGTGGATATTCGATTATATAACATCAAAGCCCTTGGCACATAATAAGTACTCAACAAACATTTGCTTGTTTGTTTTCCATCCTTAATATTAGCTTATTATCTGACTTTAAGCCAGTTGCTTAGCTGTTCTTTGCTTCAATATCCTTTTATTTACTTAGAGACAACATAATTATGATATCAACAAGAATATTATAGTTAATGTAAAATGAATGTTTTTATTTCACAAGCACTTTTACCTACATTATTTCACATGATTTTACCTTGACAATTCTCAGGGAATTATCTTTGTACTACCTACTTCAGGATCGTTGTAACAAAGAAAAAGGATAATTGATGTAAAACACTTTGAAATAACGCACATATACGTACATATTTGCAGATAAGGCATTGCTATCATTATTCTGATGTTTTCCCCTAAAACACAAGTTTTTGAGTGTTTCTGAAGATGATAACAAAATAAATGAGAAGAATAGGTTATAAAATTACTAAGATAGATTTCATTTACTAAGATAAATTTCATTTGAATAGCCATAATAGATTCCATTTTAACAGCCAAGTATAAAAGGATTTTTATTCTTAGACTCCTTGATTCAAAGACTATGGTGTGTTTATAGGTGCACTTTCTTAAGATTGAATTCTGAATGAGGAAATATACACATAGATTTTTTCCTAGTGGAAACTTGAGATGAGGTATGAATCTGGAATCTGTGGATGCCATGATTTTAAATATCATGACATGGAGACTCTTCTTTCTTCCTCCTCATACAAAAATATTACTACCTAAATTTCTAGTTCATGAGAAGAGCCTTGGATTATAGTGGAAGGTATCTTCTACCTTGTCCTCCCCAGAGGGTGCTCATGAATTACTCTCCATGTATTTGAAATGGTCTCTAAATACAGAATCATTGGGGACCCAACCATACTGCAGGGAGATGATTTCTGAGGCTCACGTGAATCTGCCTTAGGTGCCCTTTTTGGTCATCAAGTACATTTCAATGCTGATGCCACACTTGGCACTCTGCTAGGCATGGCAGGGTATCCATCCTTCAAATAGAATGGCAGAGTCTTTGATCTGTCATTTTCACCAAAGGAAAATACATAAAGGAAGAGACAAAATTAGTGATAGCTGGAAAGGGCATAGACAGCTAGATTTTGAACAGCTCCCATCACCTTCCAAAGAAGAACTGAGGACGAGATAGCAACTGGGCATCTGTAAATTATAGTATTAGGCTACCTAAGAAAATTTGCTCACCCATTGGCATATTTAGGCTTATACGATGGTAAATCTGGAAGGAAATTTAGGGAAAGAGAGTGAGATTCTGAGAGGGAAGGTGATTTAACTTATGGTCAGATAGGTTTTAAGTAGGTAGATAATAAAATCTCTTTGTTACATGTAAAAGGCAGAACTGTATAGGAGTAAAGATCATGGGTTTAGAGAAAAATTGCTTGGGCTTGAATCCACTTTTTGCCTCTTAGTAGTTGTATAATATTGGGCAAGTCATTTAACCTTTCTGTTCCTCACTTTCCTCATTTGAGAAAAGGAGGACAATAATATACTCATTTCATACAATTTTTCTAAGGATTAAATATTACAGTCCATAAAAATAGAATGTGCAAGTGCCTGGGACATAATACACAGCTATAATAAATAATAATATAATAATAGCTATTATCATTATTAATACTACTGGACAGAAAACCACTCTCACTTCTTCATGTGATACCAAGTCCAATGTATCCTTTTATAATTCAGAAAAGTTGAGTGAGAACCAAGTTTTTTATGTGAACAAAAGATTATAGTCTATTGAAAATGCTACATCCTGGTGAACATTCTTCATGTGGCCTTTCTAGTGCCTTAAATATTACCAATTGAAGTTGTTATTTAAGTAGCAGTCTATTCAGACTTCTGGTATGAAGGATTTTCTGTAATGGAAAATATCTATTTTATCATCGGTATGAAACCCAGTGACCTGGGTTTTCTCCTCAGAAGCTTGTACTGTTTGCTGAGCACAGAATAAAGATGTAGATTGAAGCAAATTTATTTCTGATATTATAGATTGGAGGCATAGCTATGTGGTGTGGAAGTGGGCCATGAAAAATGCAACCTCCACTCTCCCCTTGGACCCATAGTAATTTATCCTGGAAACATTGTTGAGTTCCCTGAACTGGAAGGTAAGTAATTTGCTCCAAGCTTTAAATCTTCTGCAGGGAATGAGCGGTGGCCATGACTTGTGTCGTAAGCAGGGCTTGGGACTGTGACAGTACCCAGCCTGTGCCAGGGGGGCGAGGCTCTGAAGCACACTGTGCTCAGGCTAAAATCTCTAGTGGGGGCTACTTTGTAGGTAATGGGGGAAATTACATGTTAGCTGCTACTACTCATTTAAGAAAAAACAGTCCTAGAGGTCTTCAAGGAGAGGGCAAAACCACTTATTCACTTATTCAGACAACACTTTGACTACCTTCTCTATTCATTTATTATGTGTCTATTTACTGAGTGCCAGCCCCATGGCAGGTACCATGCTAGGCACTGAAGATGTGGCCATGAACACAGTGAAGTGGCTCTGCTCATGGCACTGACCCTCTCTGTGCCGGGCATTGTACTGGGACACGCAGATAAATGAGATCCCCACCCCTGCTCTGTAAGGTGTTCCACATAAAGAGAAAGGAAAATGGCGATACAATGTAGAGTAGCCAGGACTGTGGAGATATTGTGACCTCTGAAGGTCAGGGAGGGTTTCCTGGGGAAAGTGACTTTCAGGTCAAGTCCTGAAGGGCCAAGGGGAGTGACTCAGTGCTTATTCTAGGCAGAGAGGGCAGCTTTTACCAAAGCACGCAAAGGTGAGAAGAAACTGCCAGCAGCTGTGTGGCCAGATGTTGAATCTGGAGAGACAGAAAGGGCCCAGATGATGAGGGTCTTGGAAACCGTGACGCATGGTTGTATCCTTTATCCTAGGACAATTAGAAGCTAATCACGGGTGTTAATCAAGGATTGATGAAGAGCATATTTCAACTGTAGTACAGCAAATGGGTTGGCAGCAAGGGCGCCAGTAGGGGAGAATGTTGGATGGAGGACTACACAGAAGAGTGGTGATGTGGCCTGACAAAGACAGTGATAATGGGGATGGAAAGAATTGAGCAAATTTCAAAAATTGTTAAGGAAGTGATTGCCTGGTAGTGGGTGGTAAGTGAGAGGGTGGAATAATAGTTGACTCCCAGGTGTCTAGCATGGGAACTGCATGGAAGATGATGTCATCCACTAAGAGGCAGGGGTGGAGGAACAAATTTTGGATGAGGAATTCAGCTTTGAATATACTGAATTTGTGGTGTCTGTGAGATAAATAGAGGAAGATGTTCAGTGGACAGTTGAATGTGTAGCCTGAAGATCAGGAGGAAGCTATGGACTAAAGTTATCCCCATGTGGATGGTGGACTCATGGACAGGGTCTGGGAAAACACTGGCATTGAAGTGGTGAGCACAGAAAGAGAAGATGGAGAGGGAAGGGACAAAGGGCTAGGAGAACACTCAGGGTGTGTGGAGTCATGGAGAAGAATGGGAGAAAGAAGTCTAAGAAGGATGAAGGAGTGAATGTCAAAGACTGATAGAGGCCACCCACAAGAGGCCCTGAAATGTGTCTAGTGGAAGTAGCAACAAAAATGTCATTCACTGGTAGGGTGACCACCTGTCTGGGTTTGCCTCGATCTGTCCTGTTTGGTGCCTGTTGTCCCAGCATTATTAATAGTACCCTTTAGTGCCTAAGTTTGGATAATAGATTACATCATCATCCCTGTCACTGGCTGGCGTGAGCAGTTTCAGCAGCATGTCAAAGATAGACTGCAGTGGGTGTGGGATGAATCGGAGGAGAGAGACATTGGGAGAGGCCGGTTTTTGAAGGGGTGTGGTCAGGCTATTGGAGAAGGAATTTTGACATCAGGTGGGCATTGAACTACTTAGATTTGAAGTTTCTTACAACCCTGGGAATAGTTCATAGTACTATTTTCTTTTACTATTACGGCTCCTTAACACCAGTGAGAAACAAGACTGGTTTCTTGTTTCACATTACAGAGTTAAATGCTATTTTCTTACAAATTATTTTACGAAGCCAACATTTTATAAATAAAATTATTTTTTATTTTATTATCTTAAACTCCAGTTACTTGGAGTGTCTTTCAACTCCCCCATATCTGAAAGGCAATATAAAGCAGAATTGTGTGAGTTGTTTGTCTCCTTTAAGAAATTTCTATTAGTCCTTAATTAAGTAAAGGAATCATTTTGTCTTTTAAATTATTTTGTATGATGAAGCATTACCAATAATGACTAGATTGAGAGCAAGTATTCTGCCTTGATTGCAGACATTACTGACCTAGGAAAGCTAGGAAAAAATACATGCCTCCAAGTTTATTCACATCTAATATGTCTTCTGAGTTTTGAAACTTCCAGCTTAGACCAAACAGATGTCTGCGAGAGTTTAAACATTTATATGTACAATGAGAAAGACGCAAACATTATGAGTGTTTCTCTGTATACATTTAAGTGGAGAAATCATAATGGATATATCTGAAGGGATTAAAATAATCATTATCATAAGCAAAACAGTATCTCAGGACAACAGAAAATTATATAAAATGGAATGATTTTTAAGCCCATATGAATATTCGGTTGGGTAGAGCATCAATCAAGAAAGAGATGCAAGTCCCTTTGCCTTTCTTGCAGAAGGGTGACAAATGCAAATAATAAAGCCGTTTGTAAATGTCCACACATAAGCCTCCTTTCTCCTTGTTGTTGAATTTGATTATTGAAGGTCACGCTTCCAGCCACAGCCTGTCTTCACTCCAAACACACTGGTGGACTCCTTTGAGTCAGGAGGTACTCGTGGGATTAGGCTGGGGTGACCTTTAACAGTCCTTTTTATTGTTAAGATGCAAACGGCTGCCTTTAAAACAAGTGGTGGAGGGACTATTTCTGCAAAAGACACTTCTGTTCGAGAGGTTAATGGGAAGCAATAAGTTGTATGGCAGCTATGATTTCTCTGCCATAGGTAGGCTTGGGAATAGCCCCATAAAGCACGCTGTAACAGATAAGTAGCTTTCTCTCCCCCTGCTGCTTCTTAGGATGATTAATAAAAGTACATTTTATTGCTAATCTGACCGGACACTATAAACTAGTGAAACAAAAAAGTTCCCAAACAGATGTCTAATATTTGCACATTATAAATTCAAGTTGTCAATAACCAACTTTTGCTGAATACTCCATTTTAAGGGTAGTTTACCATTTATTCTTTGGATACCTAATCTAATCAGAGCCGCAGCCGAATACACTGTTTTCTATCTAAACTCTGACTAATCTGCCCAGGCTGTCTTTGTATCACCTTTGTTTTGTTTCTCTTGTGTGCATTTGTTTTTCAGTAAGCAATGGCCTCGGTTTTGCTTCTCTTTTGGATGGCCACCACCACATAGGGCCTGGATGTGAAAGAAGACCCTGCATTTGTCTGTTCCAGTGGCAGTTTGGTAGTAAAACAACTGTTGAATGAGCCACGGTTTCAGCAGACCATCAGGTGAATGGGACCAGTCTCTCTTCTTCCAAAATACCAAAAATTAAGCACTTGGAAAGGAGATTTGGCCAAGATGACCCATTTACAGGCCGGACTCAGTCCAGAGACTATAGAGAAAGCACGCCTGGAACTGAATGAAAACCCGGATGTTTTACATCAGGATATTCAGCAAGTCAGGGACATGATCATCACCAGGCCTGACATTGGATTTTTACGTACAGATGATGCCTTCATCCTGAGATTCCTTCGAGCCAGGAAGTTTCACCAAGTGGATGCCTTTAGACTCCTGGCCCAGTACTTCCAGTACCGCCAGCTAAACCTGGACATGTTCAAAAACTTCAAGGCGGATGATCCTGGCATTAAGAGGGCGCTGATTGATGGGTTTCCTGGGGTGCTGGAAAACCGCGACCACTACGGCAGGAAGATTCTTCTGCTGTTTGCAGCCAATTGGGATCAGAGTAGGTAAATGTAGATAGTGTCTTTACTTGGCTTTTCTTTTCTATAATCATTGCATGTTTGGGGTTGTATGGCTTTATATGTAATAAGCTTTCACTTTAAAAAAATATATTCTACACACTCACAAAGGAAGTTAAGGCCACAGGTGTGATGTCATCAAAAGTCAATTCCAGATAACAATAGAATCATAGCATGAGAGTTGTAAGAGATCCATAGGTCATCATTCTATTAATCAGTGAGTCGTTTAATAAAATTGAAAGCTGATCTTCTAGAAGAACCACATATTCTGTCTTTAGTGTCCCCATCGTTAACAGCAATAACAAAAACGGAGTCAGTCAATGGCTTTAAATCAAGTGTTTTCGATGCATAAAAAAATTTCTTGGATCTTCTACGTGACTTGAGTAACGTTTATTTCTCCTGAGTGCCAGACCTGTCTATCCAAATGGCCACTAAACATTTTTCTCTGAAGGTGCTATAAGGAACCCCAAACTTGACATGTCCCAAAGTGAAAGCATCCTCTTCTCCCCTGCACCTGCTCTTTCACCCACCCAGTCTCTCAAGCCAGAAATCTGGGAGTCAAACTTGACTGTTCCTTGCTTTGGTCCTTCACCTCTAATTCATTGTCAAGTCCTACCCCTTTCTCCTTAAACACCTCTCAAATCTTGTCACTTCTCTTTGCTCCCATTGCTATTGCCTTCGTTTAGGTTCTCATTGCTTCCCACATTACTGCAACAGCCCCCAAACCAGCAATCCTGCCTCTGGTCTGGTCTCCTCTGAGCCATTCTAGTCTATGCTGTAGCCAGGGTGACCACCCCAAAGTTCGCTTATATCACTCCCTTGAAGTGCTTTCTTCAATGTCCTGCAAGGCCTTCAAGGTAAAGGCAGGTCCCTCACGATCCACCTTTTACATCTCCTGCTCTGACCTTCTTCACGTTTTCTGGTTCAATTGGTTGGGAGCACAAGTCTTGCCTTGAGCAGTTGAGGCTTTTCCATGCCTCTGACCCTCTGGACTTGACCCATCAGGCACCTGAAGGAAAGACCAACCATTCCCACCACAACTCCAACCATCCTGACACAGTTTGCCCGCTGATTCACACCTGTCCTTGTGGTTCCTGAGGAAGGTAGACTTCATCTACCCCCCTAACCCTGTTTCAGTCAGGTGCCCTTCCTCTGTTTATATTTCTATTGACGCAGTTGCAACAGAGGTGTTAGAACCACTGTTATCACAGCTAATGTTTTTGAATGTTATCACATACTCTGCTAAGCATTAATATATAGTATTTCATTTAATCCACCCAAGAACTTTGCATGATGGATACTATTACTATTATCCCTATTTTACACTTGATGACACAAGGCTTTGAGAAGTGAAAGACCTCACTCAGTGTCACATAGCTAGTGAAATACGGAGTGGGAGTTGAGTCCTGGTCGTCTGACTTGAGGGCCAGTTGTCTTAAACTAACTTTACTGTAATTCTGTGTTTACTTTGTGTATTCGTACCCCTCCTCCCAAGATTGCAGGTACCGTGAGGGCAGGGTACTGTGTCTTCTTCATTTTTATCTCTTTGGCACATGGCACTATATCCTATAAATGTTGAATGAGGAAGAATGAATGAATCAATCTTTGGAACATCAACTATGGCTTGAGCTGTCACAGAGATGTCATCATTGAAATTTTTATGTTTCTTGGGGAGACACAGGTTTATGTTAATAATGTATCAAAGCACCCTCCCCTAATACTAGTAAAAGAAATTTCTAGGATGCCTTTTCATGGCCTCATATCACCACTCTTCCTCCTAAAAATAATAGTGTAAAACACCTTAGCAACCACTGGCTATTTCCTAGTTGATAAATCGAGGTAGGCCAATCTAACCCTGGAAAGGTATTTGAATGTTTCTATACCATCAGTCTAGAATTTGGTCATGTCTGCATCTTGGCCTGATATTCCATGATGATACGGAATAACATTTCATATTCATCATATATTATGTCATAATTAACATAATTAATAAGGAGACTCTCATTACATTGTTCCCACCAGTGAGAAAGTTTTCCAGGTCTTTACATTCATCCATTTATATCATTCACTCAACACACATTTGGTGAGTATAGATGTTCCAGGACTTGGACGAAAGCACTGAGGATAAAGATGAGAACACATGGTCCCTGCGTGTGAAGACTCTGTTCTGTAGCCCGTTGTTCGGCAAATGGTGCAAACATACAAACAGTCAACTCTTGTCCACCATAGGCTAATTCCTTCTGAGACACACAGACCACTGACACGGGACATTCTTATAAAACTAGAGGGAACAGTTGTCCTCCCGAGAATGGCGCATTAACATTTTGGATTTTGAAACATGAAAGTTTCAGTGATTCTGGGGAGTAATCATGCTGACTTCATTTGTGCTTAGTTGTTGTCAGTGTTCTAGAACTTCCATCTGCTAAGACAGGTGATGCAGAGAATATCAGTGAGTGGTGACGTACACATAAAAAATGAGTCATAGTAAAATATTTTGTTTTGTATTAGAATTTGGTCTGTATCTATTCTAAAATGTGTGTTAAGAAGAGGAAACAAATAACAATAATCCAAATGTTATGATTATGATAACCTTGATCAAGTTACTTCATTTCTCTGTTCCTCAGTTTCCTCATGCATAAAATAAGAAGCTTAAACCAGAGATACCTTCCAGCTCTAATGGCTCATTCATGAATGTGCACCTCATTCATCCTGACCCTATAGATGGGAAGGGATTTTATAATTCATTTTATAGGCTCTTAAATTCACTAAAACTTTGGCTCTATTTCTTTCATTTTTCTTTCCCTTCCCAATTTTTTAAAAACTGTACAATATCATTTGTTCCAAACCATTCTAGTTTTAACAAAAAGGTGATAATGATAAGGCTATCCAATTAGCAGCTGAATATCATTAGATGCAAGCAGACCTCAGTGTGAATGTGGATATTGTCATGTTGTTTGCTGGTTATATGACCTTGGACAAGCAACCCGAGACGCAGTTTCCTTATCTGTAAGGTGGGGATGATAGTGATGTCTATCTAACAGTGTGTTTGGGAGGACTGAATGACAAAATGCATTGAAAGAACACAGTTCATTGTTTGGCACACAAGAAACACTATAGATTTTAGCTTCCAGTATTATTGCTAATATTATAAAATATTCTACTATAAAAGTAATGGAGCACAGGTGGTAAATAAATTAGAGCCAGAGACTGGAGTACCATATTTGCAAATGGGAGTAGGCTGATGCATGAGACCTGCCTGTGCGCCCACCTTAAGTACCTGTTTGCTTTCTCCCCAAACCTGTTTCCTGTCGTGCAGACCCAGCACAATTGGGGCCCAAAAGACATGGAAGGGTTAGCACAGCTTTGCAAGGTGATTGCTTCACTCTCACCAGGGGCCTGAGATGACTGAGAAGTGATTTGAAGGTCTCATATGAAAGGTTTGCTGAGATTAAATGGTTATTAATATTTGTTAAAATGATATACATCTCATTCATCTAGATGCAGACTATGTACAAAAGTGTGGAACAGGGAGTGATGGGAAGAAAGGTCCTCCAAAGGCATGTGCTGGGCTCTGTGAGCTTGGGTTAGATGTGGCAACTGAGGCACAGGCCATGCTTGGGCCACCTGAGCATAAACTGGCCTTGTCCAGAAGTTGGGCCCTAGCAGAGAGCTGTCTGACTTCTGTGTTTTCTGAGGCTACCAGGCTGAACTGAAATCAGGTAGAATAAATCAGCACCCACGTATTCATTCATAAAATGAACCTGGCCCTCTGAGAGTCAGCAGAGTTTATATTCCAAGTCACCAGCTTGGTATGTGATGGAGACCTAGGGGAACACTATTGTTCAATGAGCTCTGTGATCTTTCTCACCTAAACTCGTATCGGCACTGGCAAGAATTCACCATTTGCCCCCTCAAGAGCTGACCAGAAATAAATCTCTTTCTTGCTTCTTTCTGAGCTGCTGACTTGCACCTTGTCATAAGGCTGATTTGCCATGAATGTCTGGGGCTGGAGGAGAAAACATGAGCACAGAGGGGCACATCCATTTTTTCTGAATTTCACCCCGTTAAAAAAGAGTTAAAGTTGGTCAAGTTATTTTACTTTCTGGAGTCGCAATTTCATCAAGTGGAAATGGCAAAATATCTGGCATGTGGGGCTGTGGTAAGGATTAACCCCAATTGCCCTACTTGGTGGTACCTGGGATGCAGCACAGAACAGGGGTTAAGTGCAAAACTCAGAAGCCAGCCGGCCCCAAATGCCAGCTGCCTCCTAACCAGGCATGTGACCTTGAACAAGTTGCTTAAATCCTTACTACGCCTCAGGTTCTCACCTGTAAAGTAGGGATGGTAATGGTCATAGGTTAGCACTAGTTGGTGCTCAATAAATGGTAGTTGTTTGTTAAGGAAAAAATTCAAATCAGGCAAATATCTAGGATACTGGGTCACAAGATGTACTTTCTAAGGGCAGCAGCATGTGGTGCCTTTCCCAACTTTCCTCCACCCGGAAAAGTACAAAAAATACAACTGAGACCCCAAGGTACCTTGTCCAAAGTCCTCTGTGATAGCCCAGTTGTGGCAGGAAGGCTCTGAGAAGTCACCTAGTCTTAGTGTTTATTATATTCTCAGGAAATAAGAAAAGCATTTTGGAGGGGGGAAGATTTGGGTAATAAGAGCCTCACAACACACTACAATAGTATCCATTAGTGCTATGTGTACACCAGCTGGTCCCCGAGTACCTTGATGGGTAAAAACAACCGGAAATGCATCGCAAGTCATAGTATAGAAAATTACACTGAACATTCTTTTGTCGGTATATTGTTTGTTTGTCACAACTAAAAGCTCATAAATCAGCAGCCAGGTTTAAAACTAGTTGAATAATTGTTTTTTTTTTTAAGGAAGATGAGGCATTTAAGGAAGAGTTGAGTTAGAGTAACTTATTAGAAAGAAAAGGAGGCTGGTGACCAACTTGATCACCACCTTCGAGCATGTAG